TATGAACTCATCAAACTTTGATTGCGTTTTCCCATAAATTTAAAATATGCAGTGATGAGTATACGGTGATTTTTGTTAAATATTTTCAAGGTTTTTAAAGTAAAAATTTTTTGTTATTTTTTCATAAAAATATGGATCATGCTTCAACCAAAACCATATAAATAAAACTTTCAAACTTTATACAGAACTTGAAATTTAACAAATTTTCATTAACATTTTTTTTTAGAATATTTTTTTAATAATTTTATTATAAATTTTAAGCGGCTGCAAAATCACGTTGATTTTCAGATTTTTTTTTGTGACGGTTTTTTGCACTTTTTTGCATATTATACAAGCATGAATTTCTTATGGAAGAAAATGCGCAATACCGTTTGCAAAGAAATTTATAAAATCGACACCAGTTTTTATAAATTGCACTTTTTATATGAAAAAACCCGCAAAAGCTGTCAGAAAAAAAATTTAAACTTTAACTTTAAATTCAACACGATTACACTTTCGATGCGGACCATGCTGAAAGTTCGTTGTTATGCATATAATCCAGAAATGATAAGGGTCTTATTCTAAGATATATACATATATCCAAAAGACTTAAATCAAAACTACATATATATATATATATAACTTTAGCGATTATTACTAGATTATTTTTAACCGACTTCAAAAAAAGGAGGAGGTTATCAGTTCGTCGGAATATTTTTTTATTTTTTTTTATGTATGTTACCGCATAACTTTGGACCACGTCAACCGATTTCCATAATTTTTGCATATTTTTGCATCGGAAAGGTAGTGTCTCAGAGGTGGTCCCATACTAATCAGGTTAAGATCCGATCAGTGGATCATGAGATATATATATATATATTTTTTTTATATGAGAGTTGAAGTCGGTTTTTTTTTGCTAAAAATTACTTGTTATATGTACATTATGTAAAATATATAGTATACGTACATAAAAGATTCGAAAACGCCGATAAAAGACGGAGAAAAACATGATTAAAATAATAATAAAAAAAAAATAAATATAATATAATCTAAAAATATCGATTAAAAATAATTTTTCGATTATTTTTACATATGTATATCTACTATCGCAGGAAAATAATCGTAAACTTTAGTTTAACAATATTCGAAAAACATCGATCAAAAAATGGACAAAAAGCCGATTAAGAATAATCGAAAAAGTATCGATCAAAAATAATGGAAAACGTTTAGATTAATAGTAATCGAAAAAGTATCGATAACGATAATTGAAAGTTTTAAGTCTAAAGCTTACAATCCGCCGCTCAAGAACAATCTCAAGAAAATGTGAAGCAAAATCTAAACTCAACAGATCGCTAAGTTTTCAAAAGCTTTGGGTAACGGAATACATACAAAGTACATACGAAATTACAGTTTAAGCGAAGTATGCATAATCAGACCATTAGAAACAGCCCTTAAAAAAGGCTCCAATATTATCGAACGAGACGAAAAATAAAACAAAATATGATCGAAGTTATATCGAAAAACATGTTAACCGTCATAAAAACATTAGAGTGCTTTCATTCGTTTTTAATAAAAAATTTTCATATAAGAAAATGATAACAAAATAAAATGTAACACCCTTTATTTAGTAAAACAAACGGTAGTGAGCCGAAGTTACATTTTCCACTCACACTAATGAACTAAGTGGCTACACCCCCAGCTGTTTGATGTTTTGACTGTAACACCTCTTAACTAATTAATTAGGCGAATGACAGAGTAGAGCGTACATACATATGTATGTATGTATGTATTTATGTAGCTATGAAGAAAAGCCCCCCCATCAAATATTTAACCGGTGAAATCCAAAACAGTTAAGCTACGCGAACTAAGCGAATATAAAAAACAAAAAAAAACGCAAAATATCAAAAATAATATTTTCCTTAACGCCTTTGTGCTACACTTCATTTAGCGCACAGCACAACAAAGCGTGATGTTGGAGAAATGCGCACAAATGGGCGGGGGACTGAAGCACATTAGCACGATTAGTTTTATCACTCTTGTACTGGCCAGCTAACTAGCGAGGCGATGTCTATATCAGCTACAAATGCACATTTTTATGTAGGTACTTTTATTTGTGCAACGCATTAGCAGATATACGCGAATTAGATAGTCGATGAAAGTGAAAATTGAAATGTTAAAACGGCATACGCGCACTTATTATTTACTCTAAATATTTTGCACTTATTTATTAATTTTTAATATAATTATACAGCAAATTTATCGATAACTTAATTTTGCACAGTCACGCGTACGTTTACGCAAAGGATATCGTGAATTAGTCGCAGCTAAACTAAGAATGCAAGGAAAACAAATCAGTATTGCAACCTGAATCTCGGCAATAGAGAAGAGAATGGCAAAAACGGAAGAGCGGCCGTGCACACACACCACTAAGTGTTTTAAGATTTGCTGTGGCAGTAGTGAGAGCGGCTAAATGAGAAAAGCAGCAGCTGGCGGCAGAAGGCTGTGCATGGCGGAAGTGGGTTTGTGGTGGTAGTGGGTGTTGTACCAGTGCAGTATTGCACAATCTGGGTTAGAAATAAGAGTAATGCAACTATTATTTGACAGAGTTGCCATTGCATACTTTATGATGTAAAATTTGGTCTGTTGTAGAATTAGAATCTAGGCGGGTTATTATATTGAAATTGCTACGCGTGTACGATAAAGATTGGCAATGAGCAGTAAGTATGCCTGTAACTACTGTTATAGTGCCACTCCAACAAGTTAGTGTCTGGATCTGGTTAGTACTTGGTAATTTTGGAATATTTCCGAAATGCAGGCAGGGGAATTCTGCTCCTGCCAACTAACATCTATTAATAGACAACTATCAAATTTTGAGCAAGGCACGTTATTGAGTTTTCATTTTAACAGCCATTTAAAACAAGCAATCTCCTGAATTTTTACAAAAACCGAGAAAGGTGAGTGTTAAATGCTCATCAAACATTATCTTTAGCGAAAAAACAATCACCGAAACCATGGGAAGGCTTGACAATTACTATCGGAAGTCCCCATAATCGAAACTATTAACTGAGAAGGGGCATCTCATTCCACATAAAGTTTTGGACATAAAAAGATATAGACGCGATATATGACGCGATTGCACACACCGTAAGCCGAACCGTGTGATGTCCACCCGCTATCCCAAAGAAAGTTTCGCCGCGTTTCGTAACCGTGTGGATAAACCACAATATACCAGAGGCCAATAAACCAAGAAACCGTCAAACCAACCAAAAAAGGCCAAGGTTGATATGTCAGACAACAAGTTAATGGCAATAGGCATCCCAAAAGACTAAGCGGTGTCTTTCATAAAGCATCTATCCACAAATATGACATCATATAGTTCTTTCCCCAAATTTTGGAAAAATATAAGTCTTGCTGTAAAAATCAAAATTCTTGATGTGCACAACTAGGTCCAAATGACTATAGCAGCTAACTATAAAAAATACGAACTTAAATCAACCTCAAAAACAAATAGATTTCAAAACAAAGTTGGCAACCTTTTCACGCACTACAAATGCATTGAGAAAAAAAGAGAGCCAGCTACAATATTGTACATAAAAGGCGAGCGAGCGAAAATTCATATCCGCACCCACACATAAAACGTGTTTTTTGGGGGCAAACTCGCTCTGGACTTGCTGCACAACACTTTACCACGCTGTTGACAAGTTGGAATTGAGTTGTCAGTTCTTAATTGGTTTGACGACATGTCCCACGGGCGAGTGGCAAAGCGCAAAAAACAGCTGATGATATTTTGCTCAAAATGTGTCGGCGCCTATTATGCCGATGCCAACGTCGACACCACCCATGAATTCCTAAGAGAACAACCTCCCCTATCTCTGCCACTAGCGCGGCATGATGAGCAGCGCCTATTAATGTATAGTATGTAAAATTTATTATACGTATGTATTTATTTAGTTATGTACATATGTATGTATGCGCATTAACACTTCCAACACCGCAAAAGTCAACCCAGTGGGAATTAACGCCATGGCTCAAAACAAATGAAAGCAACGCGCGGCTCAGCAAACGAGATACTCTGAAACTTTCAGCACTGCGCCTACCTTTTACATTCATACAAATAAACATACATATGTATGTATACGCTGTTTTTCACCTGATTATAACTAAAGCTGCCACACTCGCCTCGTTCACAATGCTCGCGTGCGTTATGGGCTGACTGCGGCTGGCAACGAAGCGGAACCAATATTAACACCAACGCATAGGAAATTGGATTTTGTGATTCCATTTTAATTAAAATTAAAAAGTGAGGAAAAATAAGCAAAACAAAAAAAGCCATTGAACCGCAAATAAAAACGCCTTTGCCAACTGGTAAAAAGAAATTATTAATATTTGAAATATAATTGCATGTAGCATTCGCCGACAAAGCGTCTAATTCGTGGTCAAGGTGTGCCAGCCAGCAAAGTGTGCAGAAAAAAAAAAACACGATTTTTTCTATATACCAGATTAAACTAAAATAAAACAATACAATGCTAGTATAAAGAAGTAAGTTTTACGGGAATTTAGATTTAGGTTAGCACAGTAAACGTTCATTATACGAACTCTTCAAACGAAACGTTCAAATAAACGCGTCAATTACCACTTTGTATTGTGAATACGCAGTATTCGTTTGTTAGAATGTTGTCATCGGATGAGTATTTATTTGTTGTTGATTATTATATCATTTATGGCATAATTTTATATGTTAAATGTTATAAATTAATATTTATTACATTTCATAAAGCTAGTAAGCATTGATAATGATCAATCAAGCCTAAAACAATTTTTTGAACAGGCCCGAAATAATTTTCGAAATCTGAAATATTTACAAAGCCCGAAAAATTCCCCAAGTACGAAAAACTACCGAAGTACGAAAAGTTTCCAGTCC